GTGCTCACGCTTTGACACTTTTACAGTTTTTGTTGTGGAACTATTCTTAACAAGGGCGTAAAAGGGGGTGTACCAAGGTCTACCGAGGGGGGTTATGCTTGAAAACCCTGCATGTCATTTTCAGAAATTACGATTAAACCCATATATGACATTGTAAATTTTTAAATCGTGTCAAAGTTACCTAAAGACAACAATAGAGTTACATCTGTCTACTTAACCAGTTAATTTATATTGTGTTTGTGCAAATTATGTCATTTTATTGGGGGGGTTATATTGACTGAATCAAATTATTGTGGGGGTCATAACCCCCCTAATCCCCCTGCAAATTACGCCTATGGTTACAGTCTGCTAAATCATTTAGTTTGTAATTTCCTATCCATCCAGGCATGTTAATTACTTAACAAAATAAAAACATTTGTTTTATACATCAAATCCTGTGTTTACCTTCTACCATCCTTCCTTCATTATCAGACGCACGTCATCATTGTTTGACTCTGACAGGGACTTTTCTTTACTAAAGCTTCCCTCCGTTAATGAGATTGGCTGCATACCAAGTTCATGTGCATCTGGCACTTGTATCTGTGAGACCGCCGGAGGAAGAGGAAGAGATGTGGCAGGGTTTGAACAAGTCTCAGTGAGGGGCAGAGGCTGGACTACACAGATAAGCCCTTCTACTCACTATTAGAAAATAGACCGTGCTTTGTGGAGAGAGGATAAGGATCCAATTGATTTCGGGTTTTAAAATGGCAAAAGGCCCACACAAACTAACTTTAGGAGAAAAGTGAAGGTAAACAAAATGTCGGTCAGGAGACACTGGGTGAGCCAATACCTCGCTGAAAATTGTTCACTTTACCAACAGAACAGTGAGCTGGTACAGTACACTATCAGAAAATCAAATTTATCTCTACTGATTAGAAAGGTGTACTGATGGTAATGTTCTTGAAAGTATAATTGCATTCTTGATCAAAAGTTATTTCCAAGTATTAGCACCTTGGTTTTTTATTAAGTATGCCTTTTTCCATATTATCTCTGAGTTTCAATTTATGAAACCAGCATGTTGTGGTAAACACTTTCAGTTAACTGAAGTTGGGTCTTTTCAGGGGAAGCATCCAACTTCTTTAGAAATTGTTAAAATTTAAGTTGATACAGTTATGCACTGCCTAATAGTGGAAAAAAATCAGTCACAAACTGCATATTTGGCCAGCCTTTCAGATGCCCTCTCGTGTAAAAATCTGACATCAAATCAGCTTAAAGGAGCAAGCTCAGCATCACAACTCAGATACCCTCTGTCACTGAGGCCAGAAATGCACAAGTCCAAAACTCGCATTTCAGTGGTTAAAACTTAGTAAATCAGTGTGCAAATCCATGCCAAACTTGTGTATGCAACAGTGTCTACACAGGGCCACCAGACATTTTTCTTATAAAAAAAATGTTGCAGTTCCAGATTTGACATTTTTCCAACTCTTTTTTTTATGTATTGTAAAATTTTTGCCATAAATGTTTAATTCAGAACACTGCAGGACTCATAATTATCTCAGTTTGTAATGGAAATATGCTGATTTAATAAAACATGCATCATTCAGCTGTGGGCACTGAGTTGTAGACCTGCCATTTTGAAAATTATTTTAATTTATGCAATTTAAAAACAGACACACAGCAATATAACAAGCCTACTGTACTTGGGTGCATTAGTAGTCTTTGATAAGCTCTATTCTAACATAGACTTTTGATAATCAAGCATATGTGTTAGAATCTTGTACATATATAAAATTCTAATGCAAACTTTATGCAATTTTTGTGATCTTTATTAAAAACTTTGTTTTAGACCATATATCTGTTTATATAAGCTGCACAGGGTCTATTGTACTACTGTGTCGAATGTATGTTGAATATATGTCCCCATCACTCATTCTTCAAACATTTAAAGTGCCATCTTATTCTCTGGTTTGTGTTTGGTACTGTATTTAGTTTTATTCTGAATAGCTGTCAGTTAATTTAAGAAATTTTTAAAACAAAGTATTAACTTCAGAGATTGGGATATTTTTTTGGTTGCTTTTTTCATCATATAAATAGAACTTTATTCCATAGATCAATTTTTTTTCTGCTTGGCCTTCAGAGGAGTCGGACACTTTTTGCTCTCTCACCCAAACCTCCCTTTTCCCCCTGCTTTGCTGCTGGATCAAGCCTTTCTTCTACCTATCATTCAACAACAAAAGAATTATGGATCTGGTCAACTGGTCTCTGAATGTATTTGACACAATTTTTTCCACTTTGAGTTTGGAAAGAGGGGAGCGCAGCTGTCCCAGTGGAACCGTGGCTGCAGGCAGAGTTTCTGGGTCCTGGGGGTGGAATCTAGTCTGCCTGGCCCCGCTTTCCATTGAAGACGTTGAAGATGTGTTTATATTCGGATTTATGATAATGGGATTCCTGCTGATCGGCTGTGGAGGAGTTCTGGTTTATCGGAAAATGGAAATGATCCTGACAGCAGTCCGGGCCTGTGAAAAGCTGTCAGGAACCTTGGATGGAATCTCTCATACTGCAAACGCACAGACTCAAATGCTGGGGGATATAAGTCGCAGACTGGATGTGGTTCTAACAAGGATCACAGCTCAGCAGCGTGCCCGTGAGGAGTGAGGCTAAACCTGGGTGAATACGGGAGAGGCGAGGTGGTAAACGAATATGGAATTTTGGCATTTTTCACAACACAGAGACACAGTTAAGGCTTTAAAGCAGTGAAAACGGGCTGCCTGCCCTAAATAATTATATTTATCATTGCAGCTGTGACCTCGGACGCAAGCTGATAAAACCTCCCTGGAATGACACTTGAGAAGGAAGCCTTGACTCCCCCCCACTCATCTGTGCTCGGATCGGTCTGAAGGCCGCATTGGGTGGAGATAGAGAACTGAACTCTTGTGACTTGTGCTTTGACTGATAACTGGTTTGGACTCTGGAGGTCTCTGATCGGTGCCGGCACAAAGTCTGCCCTGGAAGTCACCGCCTCCGCTGCATCCCTCCCCCATACCATGTGTTTTGACCCCCCCCTCCACCCCCTCCCCTCCTTAGCTGATTGCACTGTTTTGCAGAGTAGTTTTTTGAGCGTATGTTTGTGTGTTTTCTGCATAAAACACAGGATCAAAGCTCTTTTTTAACTCACCCTTCCTACTGTGTGTGCATTCTAAACTGCAAAGGTAGCACACTAAGTTGCAAAGGACCCTAGACATTCGTTCCCCCATGTTTGTCGTGTGTATGTTTCTCCGTACGGATGTTCTAAACTGCATTTTGTTCTGCATCTTGATGATGTGTGTGAATGGCAATAAAACGCTTCTGATTCTGATAAGATGTTTAGACTCATGGCGCACATGAGCAGAAATGAAAAGTGTGATTTGGTTGGTTTAAAAGACACTGTCACCCACTCCACCACCTCCCTGAGACTTAAGAGTTTTAACAGTAGGGTTTGGTTAATGGCTGGTCTTAAAATAACACCAAAGTCCATATTTCACACTTTGCAAGATGAGGTCAGGAAATTGGTGGCACTCTATAGCAGAACCGTATCTGCTGATCAGTCCAGAAGCATACCCAAGACAACCGAGTTCTACCAAACCTCACATACGGTATACACCTCACATGTGAACACAGATAAAACAGATACAACGTGCAAAGACAAACTGCTGTGATTAAAAGCAAAATCTAGACTCCAACTCTTTGTGTCCTCTAGATCTTCTACTTGCTCTTTGAACTTACAGGAACTGCTGAGTCAGATGCCTTGATGATGCAAAATAATTGAAGAAAATACTATCAAATATTTAATCTGACACTATACTTTCAGTGACGCATTTAATGACTTTAATATGTTGACTAATACATCTTAAGGGAGGTCTAAAAAGTAGCCTGGGTTATTGGCAAAGAGCGCAAACCGTATGTATTATTCAAAGCTTTTTCATTACAGCATGAAAAGATGAGCAGAGTGACTCACTTTTTTTAACCAATAGATGAAGTTTTCCTTTTTCATCTATAGAAAATTAAAATAATGAATACTGAGCACTAAGATGGACCAATGTAAAAAGGCTATAATGAGTCATTTCCCTCAACCAATAAAATGGCAACCTCTTCAAGGTGGCACAAACTGCAGTGCCTGTAAAAACTAATGTCTATTGAAAACGTGTTAATTAATGTGGCTAAGATGCCGCAGTAAAGAGCAGTAGTAGAATAATGTCCTAACATTTGTGGTGAGCACAGGAAGTAATGAATGGTGAGGTGTGTGAATCAGTGCATCTTTAGCTACCTCTTTGTGATCAATGAATCCACACTAGACATCTGTCTTCCTAAGTACTGCTAAATGAGTGCAGCTTTCAAATGATGAAGACCTAATATACTGTGGTGTTTCCAAAGTGCCCTACTGATACTGTACATCTTCATGCATTTAATTCAAGTCCAGATGTAATGTTATGAAACATAGGACACATTGCACGTGTACACTTTATAGTATAAATCGAATGTAAGCAAATACCTTTTTAAAAAAAGGCAAGGAATATACTATTTTTCTTAGTTAAGAGCAGCATTTCCTCAACACAATTTAATGAAAGATTTCTATGTACAAGATATCTAGCCACTATTGCAACACAATTAAAGGGTTTAAGTAAAAACAATAGGCAAACTATTTACAAAAAAAGCTTAATTTTATGCATACTGAAACTGGAGATGTATGGTTTTGGCTCTATGGGATATAGTCAGCATTTAAATAAATCTGCTTTACAAATGTTTCACAAATCTTCAAGGATTACTTGGTCTTTGCCAATTGCATTTCTTTTCTACCAAGACAATCCTACTTGTCTATTTTTTCATTCAATATCAATATTCTTGTTCTATTGTGTATAGAGTTTGTTTTTGTTTTAAATTTTTTAAATTAACACAAAAATTAATTCTATTTTGCACAACTTCTGTTGTACATCAACACACAAACTATTCTGTAAAAGCTAGAACACAAAAGCTCCGAACAGATGCAGGTCCTGAACTACACAAATACTTATCTAATTGCATAATTCACATGAATAAGACCAAAATTTAAAGCCATCACACCACAAATCAAAGGTTGTGTTGTACATTTCCTAAAAATGGACTCCACTCTATATGGATTGCTGCTGTCATAAAATAACTCAACTCTCAAAAGTTTAAAAGCAATTAATATAAATGGTAAATCTTTACACAGCTGTCAGTTTCAAAATATAGACTTTTTTTCTGGCAGGAGTACGATCAAATTTTTAGAGGAAGTGCTTCCAGGCAAATGCCTATAGTTTTATGCAAATAACTATGAAATAAGAAATGGAAAGAAATGTTAAAGTTCATAAAATTATCTCAGCTTGAAACACTTTAAAATGTGTCAGATTGAAGTTGTTCGGTAAACCACTTTGGCTTTGACTTCACCGTTTGTTGCATGAAACTAAATTTTGGACCCCAACACAGTATGTAACAGTGAAGTATGGTGAAGGGAGTATTTAAAAAATTGAGGTTGTATTGCTGATTTAAGTGCAGGGAAAATATGAAAAGCTACCAATTGCTTTTTTTTTAAGTTTGTTTTGGTTGTTTTTTATAAAGCTGTCAATAACAAGCAGTGTGTGTAATGAACTACACCATGTATCACAAGTTGATACACAAAATCTCACAAGTTCTTACCTGATCCCATGGACAAACGATTCCTCCAGTAAACATAAAAAGGTAGCCCATCGCAACCAAACAGGCCCAGATGACCAAGGAAAAAACACGCAAAAGCCTCTTGAAGATGGACTCAATGCAGACAAGTACAAATACTGCCAAGAATATAGCCAGTGCTGTGGGCACAGTGATGACAAAGGCCACATGGTCTGCAATGTTCTGAAAAGGACAAAAAAAATTACAAAATCTTCAGGGAGAAACACCAAATATTAAGCATACAATATGAGAGTTGAACAAAATGATTTTTCTTATGAGAAAACAGTTTTGTTTTTTAGAATTTTTTTAATACATTTGAACAAAAATAATTAAAAAAAACTTCAAAAAGATAGGATAGTTTAGCTTATTTAGATACTCTACCTAAATTAGTGTGAAAGTCTCTCACAAGTGTCCTATAAATAAAAGCTAGCAAATTTAATAAATACATATGGGAGCATTTTTAAACTGGAATTTTGTGATTCTAACTTTTTGTTTTTCCAACTTGGAAATAAAGATTAAAAAATGGATGATGCAAAAGGAAAATAACTCAAGACATTGGTGAAACATTTTTCTAAATGATTTCATTCCTTAATGATCTCAGTTACACTTGAGACTAATCTCATCCCATGTTTGAAATCCATTCAACTCCTATATGGATTTCCAACTACTTTTCGGGTACACGCTTAGATATGATGGATCAAATTATTAGGGGTTTTATCAAGTTAAACATCAGAGAACGGTATTGTTGAGAATAATGTACATACTGCCTTTACTACATTTCATCAATCTGGTGCAATGAAGGATGAAAAAAGCAGGACGGGATAATAAAAGCTGATGTCTCAGATCTCTGCAGATATTGTTGGCTACACAGGCATACATTGTTAAGACACTGATATTTAAACGTGAGCTGAAATTATGAGTTCATGCAAAATTTAGTTTTATTTTAATTTAAATTTAAGGTAAGGATTTGTTTTACTTTTGCTCTGAATGCTTTAAAATGAGATATATCCTGCTTTGAAATTATTTTTCACATTTGAATCCTTCAGCTGGGGTCTATAAAGTGGAACTGCAATGCATTGATCTGATTTCCTCCCATCCTCTTTCACACTTTTTCTGAGGTGTCTCAAAGCAACTCATTTTCACTCTGTCTCTGTAAATCCAAATGAGGCGCTCCAGTTGAGGGGTTTACAACTATAAAGAATGTCCCAACACAGACGAGCTACATCTAATGGCCAGAACGCTACAGTTTTCACTCATTTACAGGCCAGCGGTCACTCTTTCAGAGATGAGGATGTTCTCATTCTTGATAGAGAAGAACGTTGGTTTGAGAGAGGAGTAAAAGAAGCCATTTTTGTGAAGAAAGACCGYCCATCATTAAACAGAGGTGGAGGCCTCCGTTTTCAGTTGTCCCCCTCCTACAGTGCTGCTATTGCCAGTATCACTCCACCCCCTGTTAACAATAGGTGTTAATTAGGTGTCAATGATAGCCATGAGATGTGAGTATCAGTCACATGGAGGCTGTGTTTAAAAGCCTGAATTTTGCCTGAAACTCTCAGACTGAAGAAGTCTCTTGGAGGAGAGACGAAACGTTTCATTAGAGAAGAACCCGTCCAGAAGACCTATACAATTTTTTTCTTTTTGATTTTTTACCTGGATTACTGAGATGCATCAGGACATATAGAGTAGCCAAGAATCTTTTCCTATACAAATTAATTAAAAGATGACAATGACAGAAGACTTGTCCATCCAGCCTTACATGGCAGAGCCAGAGTCTGACTAAGAGGCAGACGACCAATGAGGAGATAGACGACCAAACCTTAATTGGCAGTTAGGTTGCAAATACTGTGACACAATAGTTAAGAAAACATCATAGAAAATAGAGAAAAGTGAACACATTGGAAAATATGATCCAAACAGTATAAGTCTATCTATGCAGCACCGGGAGACTAAATTGAACTTTTCTGCACAACTAGAGACTGCAAGTAGACAACAAAAAGCCTTTAATGGCTGAAAATGTGGATTTTTGCCTGATATGTCCCCTTCAACATTCAGCAACATTGTTTTTCCATCCCTGCAAACCATTTCTCAAAAATAATAAAAACTGAATAAACTGATTTGACTTTGCCGTTTCAATTTCTTGCAAACACTGAATGACAAAAACACTGTGCCTATCTTCTACAGTAGTGACACATCTATCTGTTCTTCTGACAGAGAAACATCACTTCTCTTCGCTTTTTGTTTTCATCCCGTAGCCCCAGCTCCGACCTACTCTCGGTCTGTTTCTCATACACTCAATGCACTGGGACATGAGAGGATGTTTGTGACTGCAGAAAGCCACACAGAGTGTTTCTTGCCCAGAGCAGGCCTTCAAAACAGCAAAGGATTTAGGTCAGCCATCCAGAAGGATGGAGGGATGAGGGGATAAAAATGAAAGCCACAAGGGGGAAAATGAGGTGGCAAAAGGGAATGAAAAGAAAAAGAATGATGAGGCAAAAATAAAAATAAAAAATTTCAAGGAGCAGCCACACAAAAATGTACAGAAATATTTAGTATTTTTATGAAGAAAATCATTTATTCTGAGCCTATTTTAATTCTGTTTGGTTTTATACCATTGATGCTTTTTACTTGATATGAATGCTGAATTAGTAATGCAACCTCTCCACTTCATTCTATATTGACGATTATTAAAAAAAACATTTATATTGTAAATAAGGTCAAAAGGAAGGAAGGATCAAGCACAGGATTAGGATCTAATTATTTTTGATATTTGAAATTTCACAACTTTTTAGCTGTTCATTTTTTATTTAATCAAAAGTAGGGCTGCACTATTTGCACAAATTGAATGAGTCATGAGTGACAGAAATTACAAAAAGCAGAGTGATATTCCACATTGTCTGTGTCTCCCAAGGTAGACAACAGCCTGTCTGTTGTGTGTCAGCATGCTCTGTGTTGTGCTTTTTCTGAAGCTGTGTGTTCTGGACTAATTCCTATTCATTAAACAGACAGTCAAAAAAAGCAAAGATCAAAAAACCCGTTTCTTCAGCAGTAATATAGAATACAAATTAGATGTATGGGAAATTTGAACAAAAGATGATTTAGATGATGTCATTTATAATTTAAAGCAAACCAAAAAGTAGACTTAATGCAGGTTTTTCATTTGGATTTTTAAGAGTGATATGACAGGGTTTTGATTTAAAGATTATGTAACCTTGTCAAAATAGTGACAAAGCAAAACATATTCTTGTTGCAGTTGAGCCATCAGTTCAAACAACTGAGCCTTTATCCTCCACCTTTACATTAGTACTGTGATGTGGAGCACATGCTGACTCTGCATTTACGTATTGCATGCATTTGTTACAACTAACATTAAGTCACTTTGAGTGACAGTGTGTATATGCTGATGTTCAGAGCATGTGTGGGGGGCACCCAGCTGTCCACACGCTAAAGAGCTTACATCACTAATGATTTCCTGCATATTTAACGTGATATCTCATTAACAAGGATTTCAAAGGTATTATGCTGAAACATAAAGCTGGATTTTTGTTCATTTGTAAAATTATAATTTGCAGAGTGCATGTGTTTGTGCATGTTGTAAATAAATAGCTTACCAGCCCTGAAGCAAAGAACACAGTCAGCAGAGCCAGGCAGGCTCCCATCACTATGAGGAGCAAAAACACAATGAGAGGATGCTGCTGGCTCATACAGTAGTAGGATTCATAAAGCCAGTCTGGGGATCTTCTCCTCCTCTCTTCACCTCCTCCTCCTCCTCCTTTATCCACTTCACCAGACACCCCTGCCCGGTCAAGAAGGTACCACTTTCTCCTCATTGCTTCTTGCCACATAGATCTTGGAGCCGAGAGGGATGAAAACGAGGGAGGGAAACCAGAAGAGGTGGTTACTGCTGAGGTATTAGTAGTTTCCACTACAGAAGAAGAGCATTTGCTGTTCTGTTCTGTTCTTGTGCTGTTGTTCCTGTTGAGGACCCTGGACTGAGAACTCCTGAGCTCCAGTTTGTTCTTCGGTTCTTCCTCTGCCCCGTCTCTCAAGTCCTTCAGCCGGAGACAACTGAGAGCTGAGGCTGAGTCAGAGGCAGTGTGCGCTGGCTGGAGAGGTGGCAAGAACGCACGAAAAGTAGAGCGCAGCATCCTTCCCTGTCTCCCCCTGCCAACATGTTGGGGTGGAAAATGAAGGGAAGCACAGACACAGAGTGCTCTTAAATAGAGGGAGAGGGAGAGGGAAAAGTGGGAGGGAAGTAAAGGGAGAGGGGAGGGTGAGGGGACTAAGGGGGAGGGGAAAAGATTGTGCAAGAGAATTGAAAAGTCAGCCAGAGAAACACATCAGGGCAGAATTTTTAAGATAAAAAATGTCTGGAAACATTTGCCATTGATGCATTTTTTTTCTTAATTAACACTAGTTTTAAATTTTAAACTCCAGAAACAATCACAGTTTAGAAAAAACACTTTGCATTCTTCAGTTATTATAGTTCCTCTCTATAACCCCTATTAATACATAAATTAATAATTAAAAACTTGTCTACATGCAAAGGAGGACATTCATTTAAATACTTTATGCATACATCTGCATAGTTGTACAAGATTTTATTTGAGTGTTTAGGTTTACATACTGATAAAAATATGATTCAATGACTAAGACAAAGTGCAGCTGTCATGGTAACTTTTGTTTTTGAAATGCATAAATTCAGAAACTAGCACAACAAACATACTGGATCTTGGAAAAACACATTTTCCTAAATTGTGTTTGAGGTTAAAGCCCAACAAATATTCTATTCACAAAAATGTGAATTTATTTAAACAATTACTCAAGTGAACAACTGACTATCTGGGAAAATGCTGCTGCCAAAACCATTTTAAAAGATGTAGTTTTTACATTCTTGATTTACAACCTGTTAAATTAAATTCTCCCCCACAGAGCGATGAACAGGTGGATGTCATGACT